CCCCCCCCCCCCCCCCCCCCCCCCCCCCCCGGAAGCTCTGCAGGCCCTCGAGGAGCTGCCTCCATCCGTTCCGTCCAACTAGGCAACCCTTCCTGGCCTTCTGTCTCAACCAGCAGCTGGAGCAGCTGGATTGCAAGCGCCCCTCTCTTTGCTCCGGAGCAGCAGAGGGAGGCCCCCCGAGCCTTGGGGTCCCCCCCCCCCATTCTGTGCCTGCTGGCCTGCCTGGCTCAGCTTCCCCTCCCATGGGCAACCGGGAGCCGTTTTGGAGCTGCCCCTTCCTGAGGACAGGAGTGCCTGGAAAGCGCCCAGCAGCCAAGAGAGGGCAGGGGTCCTTGGAAGGTCTGCTGCCCCGCCCTGCCCCAGTCAGGGAGGTCAGAGCTCTCAGGCTCTCCTCCTGGGGTCTGGCACCCCCCCCCCCCCCTGCTGCGGGGGGGGAAGGAAAAAAGGGGGGGGGGGGGGCATTGCAGGCGGTTCTCAGCAGGCTCCAGGGAGGGCAGGAGGCGGGTGGAAGGCCCGTCATGGCCGCCTCACCTTGAATGTTGGCAAGCGGATGGTTTTCAGCATGTAGAGGCAGAAGGCAATCCCCAGAGCGTCTTGGAGGATCCAGGCCCACCTGGGGAGGGGGAGGGGGCAGATGGGGGGGGGGAGATCCACCACACATGGCTGATCCTTCCTGCCCTGTGCAGAGGCCTTGCACCCCCTCCACCTCCACCCTGGGCTCACTTTCTGGGCTCGCGCAGGGAGCCAACCGGAGCCTTCATGTGGGCTGGTGGCAAATCCCCAGCGGCAGCGGACTCACTCCAGTTCTGCCTCCTGCAGGGCCTCTGCTTCTGGGCCGAGGGGCTAACCGCAGCAGCCGTGCCGGAGAGACGGAGGCAGGGTGGCTCTCCCTCAAAGCACGCTGGGAAGGGGCTGGGGGCCCTGGAGTCCGGGGAGGGGGGGACTAGAGGCCAAAGCTGCTGCCTGGGGCGACCCCAGCCCGCTTTCCTTCAGCGCATGGCCATCAAGGCTCCAGGTGGGGGAAACTAGACTTACTGGTCTTCGTTTCGGAAGAGACCCCAGACCAGGCTGACAGCAACACAGAAGGCCGCGAGGAGGAGCATCCGGACTTGGGGCCGTTTGTGGAGATAAGGCCAGTTGTTACTTGGAAGGCTAGAAGCGAGGCAGAGGCAGAGGCAGTGGGCACCGCCTGGCAGTGGCAGTGGGCACAGAGGAAGGGGAGGAAGCCAACTGTGCAGCAGCTAGCGTGCGCAGCACCCTCCAAGCACTTCCCTTCCGGGGGGGGGGGGGTTTGCCCGCATCTCCCCCACCCCCACCTTCCTTCGGACCTAATCTCGCACCCCTTTAACCAGTCGGGGGGCAGTTGAACATGCTGCTCCCCAAGGGAGGCTCTGAGCTACTGAGGAAGAGGCGGCTGCTCTGTTTCCAGCAGCCACAAACCACAGGGCCGTCCCTGTCTAAACAGGGCCCACAACAAAGCCACAGGTGCCAAACTGACAGCTGAGAGGCCAGAGCCCGAAGAGGGTCCCTACGGGAGCCGCTCAGGCCAAAGAGCCCTTCCCCACCGGCGACCCACCTACCGGCACTTCCCGAGGGGGAACCTCCGGACAAATGGGGAAAGGCAACTGTAGAGGCCAATGGAAGCGGCCAGGCAGAAAATCCCAATGATGACGTACACTGAAGGGGAAAGGGAGAGGGAAGGGAAGCCTTTGGGGGAGGCCCCAGAAGCCAGACCAAGCCAGGGAGAGTTAGGGGGAGAATTCCCCAAATGGAAACGGGTCTCGGTCCCGGCAGCTTCTTCTGGCAGGGCAGGGAAGAACCCGGAGGGCCTGAGGGCTGCTGGCCACGGTGCCAGTCTGCCCGAGGAAGCCCCCGCAGGGCCTGGACAAGGATCCCAGCAGCAGACAAAGCCCGGGATGCCCAGGCCAGGCCACCTCCCTTTTTCTTAGCTCCCAGGAACCTGAAGGAGCCGGTCCTGGTCCTTTCCCCCCACAGAAACAGAGGCGAGGTGAGCCCAGAGACCCCAGGAGCCCCAAAGAGCGAGAGAGGTGGCTGCCCAGGACTCGCCTCCTAGTCAGTACCTAGTTGGTCGTAGAAGTAATAGAGAAGGACCAGCATAGAGCAACACATGACCACAAAGACACCGATCATGACCGGAGTGACGTCCACCGTCTCGTCCTCTTGCTTCTCAGCCCCGTCGTCCCGCTTGTGTTTCATGTAGCGCCTAGAAGAGAGGGGTGGGTCCTCAGGGGAGGCTGCCCCCCTCCCTCCCTCTCCTCCTGTGCCGGGAAGGCTGGGGGATCTGGCAGCAGCCCACTCCCTCTGACTGGGCGGGGGCTGCACAGGGCTACCTCTTTTCCACTACCCGGTCTTCCAAGCAGCTGGGGTTCTACAAGTGGATGTTCTTTGGCCATTATATAAAAGCAAATAAATAAATGAAATTACTAAGTCATTTTCAGCTTCCTTTCTGGAGGATGAGCTGGTCAACTGCTGGCTTAACACCACCTCCCTGTTCAGGAGCAAGACATCCCCGGCTGAGGGACGGGGGGGGGGGGGGGGGGGGGGGGGGCTGCCTCTTGGGCCCCCCGCGCCCCCCCAGGGGGGGGGGGGGGGGGGGGGGGGGGGGGGGGGGGGGCAGGGCAGCTGCCTCCTGCTCATATCCCAACAGAGGCCTTTAGAAGGGGCGGGAGACCAAAACCCCCCCCCCCCCCCACACACACCAATCCCTCCCACCCTCCAGGGCCGCGTCATCTCTACA